TATGTGAAACAAGCATAGTTTTGACTTTCCAGTGGACGGTACAAGTTGAGCCGAAGTTCCATGAAGGCGCAAGTAATTTAAAGGAACTTGTCCCTTTTGAGGAATGTCTTGAGTTGCACTCCACAGATGAAGGAGTTGTACGGGTTCCTGACTATCTCCTTCTTACGCATAACGGACGTAGCTTCAAGTTAGTGTTTTCCAATTCTATATCTTGTTGCTTGTGTTCAGTTTGTTTTTCGGGCCAAGCTATCTCTGTAGTAACATTATATCATCTCTTTTCAGTGTTGTTGTGGATCCCACAAATCTTGGGGATGGTGTGCATTACTTTGAAGTTTATGGGATTGATTGCAAAGCACCAGAGCGTGGTCCTCTTTTCAGAATCCCAGTAACAATAATAATTCCCAAGACTGTGGCAAATCGACCTCCAGTTATTTCATTTCAACAGATGTCTTTCGTCTCAGGTTATCGTTTGTTGACTTTGTAATGTGTGATTTCTAAAGCAAACAAGTCCTCTGAAATGGCAGTCATCTTTTATGTTTGATATTTTCTTCGTCAATAATTCCAATTGTAGGCCACATTGAACGAAGATTTATCGAGGTACCGCTTGGAGCAACATGGGCTGAGGCTACCATACGAACTTCAGGGTTTGATACTTCACGTAGATTCTATATCGATACGCTTCAGGTAGGGAACGTTCAAGGATAATTCAATTTTTTGATGCTGCTGGTTCTAATCTTCACTTGTTTTGCAGCTTTGCCCATTGCGAAGGCCTATCAAGTGGGAGAGTGCAACAACTTTCGCATCTCCTTCTGCTAAAAGCTTTGCATTTCCTGTGGTTAGTGGTCAAACGATGGAACTAGCTCTAGCTCAATTCTGGTCCAGTGGTCTTGGAAGTCGTGAATCAACTATGGTTGACTTTGAGGTAGGAACTGAGAATTATATATACACACATATATTATTTTAGATCATTTCTCCCTCTCTTTTTTCCTACCGGTATCCTGACTTTCCTTTGAGTTCATCATGCTTGTTTATCTCTTGGCCCATGATAATGCATTGCAA